GAACAGCTGGGCCTGTGAGCCATGGCCGCTGAGCCTGCACATCTGGAGCCTGTGCTCTGCAACGGGAGAGGCCACAACAGTGAGAGGCCCATGTACCAAAAAAAAAAAAAAAAAAAAAAAAAAAATTATGGAAGAAAGGAGAGGGAATGAGTATCAGTTGAGTCCCTAGCATGCGTTAGGCTTCATACGAGGCACATGATGATGATGATGATGCAGCATTATCTAATGTATCAAGTACTTTCATATAACACAAAATACATGCATGGAGTGCTTACCATGTGCTAGAAACTGTGCTAAATGCTTCATAAAAATTTTTTCATTTAATACCACAATGCTGGAGGTAGGTGTTATTAACTCTCTCCATTTTACAGACAAAAAAACAGAGAAGTTACAGCATTCACACGAGGGCACGCCGCCTGCCTCCACACATTCTGCCTCACGCCACTATACTTACTCCCAAGTATTCTCATTTAATACATATTTTTTAAAAACACAAGTACAGGGCTTCCCTGGTGGTGCAGTGGTTGAGAGTCCGCCTGCCGATGCAGGGGACATGGGTTCGTGCACTGGTCCGGGAAGATCCCACATGCCTCGGAGCGGCTGGGCCCGTGAGCCATGGCCGCTGAGCCTGCACGTCCGGAGCCTGTGCTCCGCAACGGGAGAGGCCACAACAGTGAGAGGCCCGCGTACCGCAAAAAACAAAGTCCAGGCATACCTTGTTTTACTGCGCTTCACAGATACTGAGGTGTTTTTTTGTTTTGTTTGTTTTTTTACAAATTGAAGGTTTGTGGCAACCTTGCATTGTCAGATGATGGTTAGCATTTTTTAGCAATAAAGTATTTTTAATTAACTGTAGTATATGCAAACATAACTTTCATATGCACTGAGAAACCAAAAAATTGGTGTGACTGGCTTTCTTGCAGTGGTCTGGAACTGAACCTGCAATATCTCCAGGGTGAGTCTGTAACAGCCTGGGAATCAGGTGGGGGAGAATCAGACGTGGATTACTGTGGACACAAAGACACTTTTAGAGATGACGGATATGTTCATTTTCTTGATCACGGTGATCATTTTGCAGGTTTATACAGATATCCAAACTCGCCAGGTTTTACTTTTTGAATATGTGGAGCTTCTATTATGTTAATAAAAAAAATTTAAGTAGCAGCATGTTTAAACAGTGCATCAAAACATCTGAAACAAAACTCCCTGAAAACTGTTGCATTTTTTTTGCTCTAAGTTTAAAAGTCATTTTAGAGTTTAATATCTGGCATTATCCACTGACAACTGAGAGGAAACAAAACCTTGAGCACCTCTGGCAGCCTCAACTTGTTCTCCAAACGCAGTACTAACAGGTAAAGTGTGGGAAGAAGCCCATCACAAAGGATCATACACTGTGCGGTCCTATTTATATGAAGTTTCCAGAATAGGCAAATCCATAGACAGAAAATAGGTTAGTGATTTCCAGGGGCTGGAGAACTGGGGGTGATGACTAAGGACACAGGGTTTCTTTTTGGGATAACAAAAACGTATCAGATTGTAGTGATGGTTGCACAACTCTGAATGTACCGGAAAACTGTCAAACTGTACACTTTAACCAGGTCAATTGTACAATACAGGAATTATATCTCAACAAGCTGTTTTTTAAAAAAGGTAAAACGTCTGACAAGAGATCTGAATTAAGCAGTCACACTTTCCTTCAAGGTCCTTTCCTCATGCTATATTGTTTCTAAGCCCATCCATCGCAAAAGAGTAGCTTATTTTTAAAAATTTGATCTCTAACACTACTGGCCCATGAAACTCAAAGAAATAGTGCCTACAACTGAGATTCCAAAAAGAAAAAAATAGTTTTTTACTTTTTATCCTAATCAGAGTGTGAAAAAGTACGTAGAATGGGGAAATTCTTGTTTATTTACAGAAATCATGCACCCACTTGGCATTTTTCTTTACTAGATCAAGATTTTTCTTGGTTGGTCCTCCTTTTTAAAGCTACAAATGGGAAAATCCCCAAGCCTGTTATTAACCTGTACACTAATGTTTCACTTTTCTTGGGGAAAGGGGAAAATCCCAACATTTATTCAACCACTACTCTGCCAGATGCTTTAAGTACATTGTCATCTAACTCTGTGAAGCAGATGTTACTGCCATTTCACAGAAAACCAGACCAAGGCAGAGGGTCACTAAGACACTTGCCAAGGTCATACAACAAGTAA